AAAATTTTCTCCAGATTACTTAACATCATTTGCTTGATATAGTTACTGATAAGCTTTTATTGCTCCTGGGCCAAGTCGTTTTATCTTTGCCTTAGTGCACTATGTTAATTGTTGGCTGTTGTCACCTAGCTGCTCTAGCATTAAAAATATTGCTAGTAGGATATGTTTTGAAAAATAAAATAAAACCTCCCCTTCCTAGGTGTTGTCAGATGAACATGCCCGGGAGATGTGCCTGCGCTTTGCGGACATGGAGTGCAAACTGGGTGAAATAGACCGAGCGCGGGCCATCTATTCCTACTGTTCACAGATGTGTGACCCCCGTGTAAGTGACCACTTTTACGTACTAGAGGGGCAGTTGGGTAAGGAGGCACGGGCAGGAGGAGAGAAACCTTCCATTTATACTGGGCTGAGTTAGAAATGCCAGCTTCCCCAAAAGTAATTTGACTGACAAGAATATTATACAGTGGTGCCTCGCTTAACAGGCACTCCGTTAGCGACGAAACCGCATAGTGACGAAGATTTTGCGATCGCAAAAGCGATTGCATTGCGATGTTTTAAATGGGTTTTTTTCGCTTTGCGATGATTGGGCAAAGCGATGATTTTTTAACAACTGATCGGCGGTTCCAAAATGGCCGCCAGGGAAAAAAAATGGCCGCCCGCTGTGTTTAGGAACAGATTCCTCGTATGGAGGATCTTCGCTTTAGGGTCAGTTTTTTGGCCATAGGAACACATTAAACAGGGTTTAATGCGTTTCTATGGGCTTTTTAAAATCGCATAGCGACGAAATCGCTTAGCAGCGATTTTTGCTGCACGGATTAACGTCACTATGCGAGGCACCACTGTGCTGTAGCAAATAAGTAAAGGACTGGTGCTTTATGTATCTGTTGGAAGGGAGACTAAAAGGGTATGTGTGGTTTGCCCAGTTTCAGAGGATATGTAACACAGTAGCAACTGACCCGTATGCTGTGCTATATTTTTAGCCCACTGCTTCTGTATCCCTTTTACCATAGGAAAGCTGAGAGGAAGGGAGAGTGAAATAGGAAGAACAGTTTTTGCTCAGTATTCTTTTGAATGATGGGATTACTGCTTCCTTCTTTACTGTGGACACACACTCACACTCACCCTTTTTATTCTCCCTCTCTCAAGACTACTGCCAACTTCTGGCAGACATGGAAAGAATTTGAGATCCGGCATGGGAATGAAGATACCATCCGGGAGATGCTGCGCATTAAGCGAAGTGTGCAGGCCACCTACAACACTCAAGTCAACTTCATGGCTTCCCAGATGCTTAAAGTTTACAGCAATGCTACTGGTACAGGTAAGTCTTGCCCTCCTCTACACATGACTCCTAGCAAAAAGAGTGCATCAGCTGCATCTCTGGTTGAGTACTAACCCTTTCATTTCAGTATCTGATTTGGCGCCAGGGCAGAGTGGCATGGATGATATGAAGCTTTTAGAGCAGCGGGCAGAGCAGCTGGCAGCTGAAGCAGAGAGAGATCAGCCTCGAGCTAAGGAGAAGATCCTCTTTGTTAGGTGAGTGTGTTGCAGATGAAATACTTGCTTTGCTTCCTCCCTGTGGGTCACTGCCCAGTGTATAGTAGTAGCTGTGCTCATGTGGCAAAGATGATCAGAGTTGGGCAGGAATCAAGTTCTTTGTTGCAAACTGGATGGGACCAAGAATTGGCTGCCACTTTGAGTGGGCTCTAAGAAAATCAGAAGCAGATCGAAGTGGACATGGCTGTTGCCCTGAGATCAAAGTGGCAAACGTCTGGGTGATGTTGAACATGGGCTGCTCAGTTATGTGTGTATTCTATACATGTTCAGTCTATCTATATCTGGTTGTTGGCTTTAAAGTCTGTTTTGTTAGGCTTAGGTAATAAAAGAAGAGAGTGCAAAAGCCAAGGCTTTCTCGTTGGGGTTTCTTAAGTATCCACTATTTCTAGAGTTGTTTCATTGCTGGGAGTTGGAAAATATTAGTAACTATTAAAGCAATAGTTGCATTTGTCTGACTTGTGTCTCATAATTCTGCACCTGTGCACTTGACTTCAAACTGGAAATGTGGTAACAATTGCAGGCAATAATGAAATTAGTGTTTTATTAGTCAGATATTGATAGGATCTCAAAGTAGATACAAGGTGGAATCCATATTAAGTAACCTAGTTTAGGGTAAAATAGCACAATACCAGGGCCATTCTCCCTTTGGTGTCCCCACCTGAAGGCTGGGTGGAAGTAGTGCCCATGAAGCTACTCTACGTAAGAGAGGAACCGGGAAGTGAAGCAGCTGATATGTTGATACCCTTGGAACCTTTACTTTCCTGTTTTGCTGATGCATATTAAAGGTCTGGCACCTTCCTCATAACAGTTAGGATGGCTACCTTTGTAGGGTGCTGAGGGTGCTATTTAAATATAGTTAGCTATTCTGTATAGTTCAGTAGTCAGCACAACCTGGAGTCAGATTGCTGGTTTAGTTATAGGTTGGGGTTGAGACGAGAGACATGGACCTGAAATAATAGCTTGACTTGATACTGGGGGACATTTCTTGCATTAGAGACAAATAACGGCTTGCTGTGCTAATGGGCCATTTCTTGCACTAAGGGGAGGGGGCATTTCTTGCACTAAGAAAGTGAATATGAAGGGAGGAGGGACCCTCATGCTTGTTTTGTTGATTCACTTCTCTCCCCTTGCTTCTTTTCCAGGAGTGATGCTTCCCGCAGTGAGTTGGCTGAACTCTCCAAACAGGCCAATCCTGACGAGATTGATATTGACTTGGATGATGGAGACGAGAGTGAGGACAATGAGCCGGATGGTAAGAGTGTCGGCTGCTTTATTCTTTAATCCAGCTTGTCTTTTTACTCCATATTGACCACCCCCTTTCTTCTCCCTTCTACAGAGGTGCAGCTGGAGCAGAAAAGTGTTCCTTCTGCGGTGTTTGGAGGACTTAAAGATGACTGAGTCATCATCAGGGGAAGAACTATATTGAGCTAGAGCTTTGTCCTCTTTATAAAGCTGGGCAACGTGTAGACAGCTGCTTCTTTATGGCCACCCAAACTGCTGTTGTTTTATAGCCTCTCTCTCTCTTCTGTCAAAAAGTGCTATTTATAAAATAATTTTTGCAAATGGCTGCCACTTGTTTTTTATGTGAAGTGGAAAATAACATTAGCTGTGTACTCTGTGTAAGTAAGAACTTTGAATGGCAATGATGGTGATTTTTTGTTTGTTTTGCTTCCTCCTAAGTCAAGAAAGCTCAGAAAGGGAGTTTTAAAAAAGACTGTTGGGAGTGGGATAGAAAATTTTAATAGGCTACTTTAGCTTTTGTGAAATTCTATTTTTATATAATTTTTTTAAAAAACACTGTATATTAAATATAATATAGCTCTATGGAAATTCCACAACTGCTATGTGTTGTCTGTGTAATAATTCATTTGTTAATGCATAGGATTAAACAGGAGGTTTCTGAACAGATTTTCTAAAGGCCATCTTCCCCCTCTTCTTGCATGGACTACAATCAGCCATTGTGCCCATTTCCTGGTTATGGCTGACAGGAAGAGTAGTTGATATAGCAGAGGGTGCCAAATTTACGAGAAAGCTGGTTTAAAATACTTCTACCAGACTGTTTTGCCTGGGGACTTACACTAGCCACTACTAAGTTAAAGCAGTTAGGTCATATTTTAGAAACAATGAGCATCCATTGATTGGTATGAGTACCTTAAAGAACAGCATTGGTTCTACTACAAATACATGTGCACGTCTATGGCAGCAATTTGTTTAAGACTTTTTTCCTGGCTCACTTTGCATTTGACTAAGCAGGAAGGATTTCTGTTACTTATATAGAGGACAGGGCCAAATTCATTTGTTAATGCATAGGATTAAACAAGCTGAGGGGGGGCAATGTATCGGCCTTCCTGCTGTTAGATTCCAGTTCCCAGAAGCCTCTGCTAGTTTGGACAAGGGAAGGAGGGATGGTAGGTAAGAGTTCCCCCTCAACACCTGGAGGGTGACTAAGCGCTTGTAGCCCAAGTGGTGGTGAGACAGACCCCTTTCATTAGTCAAGCACAGACCATCATGTGGGGGAAGACGATGGATAAAAGTAGAGTAAGGCAGGAGCAGCTAATCCCATCCGGTTATAGCCTGGCAACAAATGAATAGCTGCAGAAGCACCCACACAGAGGTCTATTTGATTTCTTGCCTCTTGAAAACCTGACTTGCATTTCTGCACCTCTTTCCTGTCTCCTGCAAACTGCCTGTCATTCTACACTTTTCTTCTTCATAGTTGATATGCAGAGAAAACTGCAACTACAGATCCCCACCTTAGTCTGCAAATTGTGGAAGCCAGAGGCAATCTGCTTCCAGCTTCATCCCATATTGTGTTTTCTCTATACATATCCCCCCCAGCAAGCGGGGGGGGGGGACAATGTATCTGCCTTCCTGCTGTTAGATTCCAGTTTCCAGAAGCCTCTGCTAGTTTGGGCAAGGGAGAGAGGGGTGGTAGGTAAGAGTTCCCCCTCAACACCTGGAAGGTGACTAGGCCCTTGTAGCCCAAGTGGTGGTGAGACAGGCCCCTTTCATTAGTCAAGCACAGACCATCATGTGGGGGAAGACGATGGATAAAAGTAGAGTAAGGCAGGAGCAGCTAATCCCATCCGGTTATAGCCTGGCAACAAATGAATAGCTGCAGAAGCACCCACACAGAGGTCTATTTGATTTCTTGCCTCTTGAAAACCTGACTTGCATTTCTGCACCTCTTTCCTGTCTCCTGCAAACTGCCTGTCATTCTACACTTTTCTTCTTCATAGTTGATATGCAGAGAAAACTGCAACTACAGATCCCCACCTTAGTCTGCAAATTGTGGAAGCCAGAGGCAATCTGCTTCCAGCTTCATCCCATATTGTGTTTTCTCTATACATATGAAAAACATACAGGTAGCTCTAGTGCCTAATGGCTTCTTTGGAGGAGAGAGTCTAACCCCCAGTGAATTCACCAAGGAAGGACCAGGAAACAGCTCATTTAAGTTACTTTATTAAGCAGAGAGGGCGAAGTCCCCACCTGCTTTTTACATCAACTCACCCCTTGCACTATACTGTATTCCCAAACATCTACATGACATTCAGTCAGCAACAAGCAACCACAAGAGACCCAGGAGTAGAGCTGGACAAGACAGAATCAGGGTAGAGAATCCAAACTCAATGACAGTAAACCCTCACCCCCACCACCCCTACTCTGCCTTGAGAGAAACGTCTATTCTGGAAGAGCAGGTGGGAGATCAGAGAGGAGGAAGAGGATCCCATAAGTAGCAAAAGTGTAGTAGCCCTCTGGGCCCAGGTCTGTTCTGGCTCTTGGAAAGGACTCAAGGAGCAGCCGCCTACATTCACTCCCTACTACAGCTCAAAACTGGTAGGAAAGATCTAGGGGAGGAAGAGGAGGATACGAATCTCTACTTTCTTTTGGCAGCTCAGTTCAGGACTCACAGAGGCCTGCTCTGTGACTACAGCCAGCTTTCCCAGCATTTAAAGGCAAGTGGCCAGCTAAAGCCTGCTGTCTCACCAGAAAGACAGGCTCTTGCTAATAACCTGGCATCCCAAAAAAATGCCTACTAAAAAGTTAGGACACCACAGCCCTTTCCCATCCCTACACCAAATAGCCCTTGTGCACAAGGGAAGAGACAATAAAAACTGTTGAGAAGAAAAAGGACATTCAGTGAAAGACGCTGGAGGAAGGAACATATGTACACACACACGCACACACACACCTTGCACTGTGCTATCCCCGCCATGCCATCCTCATACAAATTCACCCTGCCCCTCTGTTCCAAATGTAATTTGTTCCTTTTATATACAAATAATTGAAAAATCATTAAATAGCTCCTATATATATATATATATATTTGTATAGTATGTATAAATATAAACAGGGACACCCAGGAATGAGAAACCCAGTACAGAATCTGGGAGGGCCCGGGCACCATTCCCCAGAGAAGCAGGAGTCAGAAAAAGACACCCTTCATTCCTCTGGCTGTGGGCTGACATTCAGATGCTGGCTGGAGGCAGATGGAGTACGCAGAGCCCGGACCCCTGGTGCCCTATGTAGGGCAGTGTCACTATGGCAACTCTGAGCCTTTAGCTTATCGTGGGATTTGGCAGTTTCCACAGCATCTGTCTTCCTACCCCTGTCCACCCCTTGATCCTCAAAAGCCAAGAGTCAGTGGTTAGAGCAGCCGCCAGAACGATGCAGTCGAGGGCCAGGTGGTTCTCATCCAGCCAGACTGGTCCTGGATAAGGAGAACACTCATGCCTAGAAGCCCTGTCCACTCCAATCAGTCAGCACAGAAGGTCCCCTGCAATGTCCAATGTTTCCAAGTGGGTCTGGCAACCAAATAGCAGCTCAAAAGTTCAGACAGAGAGAGTAGACACCAAGCTTTGCAAGGTCCAGCTACTTTGGGGTGCCTGGCTTTTTGGGGGTTCCTGGTTTCTTGGTCTGCCAAAGGTGGCCTTGGATGGTAAAGGCATCTACGCTCATGGACATGGTCTTGCTGGGAATCTGAGTGAAGCGCTTCCGGTCGGAACTGTACTTGTAGATGCCTTCGATCATGGGCAGGGTGATCGTCCTGGGCCCATAACCTGCCAAACGTGTCAGTTCATCCGTCTCTCCTGACATAGTGTAGAGGGCACGGAACTGGCAACTTGAATCGCGGAACAGAATGAGAAAGTGATTGGCTTTGCTCTTCTCCACTTCCTGAAATTTATAAGAAAAAGAAATACATCTACGTGGTGATGGCTGTGATTTATAGTGCTTATTCCCCATGTAAGACCAACACAGATTATTCTTAAGGCAGAATTCAACAAGTTGGGTACCAAAAATAAGTTCCAAACCCAGCTATATAAAGATGCAAGACTATTATATACCACCTTTCAACCTTGTACACGCATTTTTGCATGATCTGGACAAATCTGAGGCAAAGGTTGACAAGTAGAAGCAAGAGAGGCCTGTACTATGCACGTGCTTCACTTCCTACTCTGGACCACTGTGAGATAAAAGGGCTGCATATCTTATTTTACTTTTACTTTATTTTCATGAGCTAAGTGTGAGGACTATCATTTCTTGATGACATACAAGCACACTTGTGTATTCTTTTATGCCCTTGCAGATGGGCCAAATATCATTTTGTACCCAATTTCTTAACACAAAGCTTTTACTTTGTTCTGAAGGCAGACGGGCATTAAAGCTCCATGGTCTGGGGCACAGGCAGCTCATCAGATGAGAAAGGCAAAGACTCTTGACTTTTGTTGCCCAAGGCAACCAGCCTTCTACCTACTTATGACATGCTCCACACACACACACACACACACCCCGTAAACTTACCTCCAGGATGCGGTTTTTTTGAGGCTCATTGACTTTGCCAGCAAGGCAGCAGTGAGACAGGGCATTGTGGATCATGTACTTGTTGGACTTTGCACTGGGTTCCTTGTACAGTTTGGGCCCTGAAGAAAGAACAGAGAGCTCAGCAAAGGTGGCAGGCAAGATGTCACTTCCTCTACCGAAGGCGAAAGCAGTCCCAGCAAAGACACGTGGAACTGCCCACATAAGCCCTTGAACGTCACAAAGGCGGATTGCAAAGAAGGCTCAAGGCTCTTGTGCAAACACAGCAGAAACTGCAGCAAGGCTTCACCAGGGGCATTTGGGCAAGAAGCATCTAGCCAAGCCCCCCCCCGCATAATCAAGGGAGGGGAACAGGGGGGGTTGGGAAGAACTAGGGCAGCTTACCAGTGTACTCTGGAATGGAGGCAGGTGAGGAAGCCGTTGAAGCATTCTCCCAGTCACGCTCCCGGCCCTGGTTTGGCAGCAGGCGGCTGGGGGACATTGGCCCAGAAGGAGAGGCAGCTCTGCAGAAGGGATAAAAGTGTTTTCCCCTTAACTCCAGAGCCTTGGGGTAGCACGGGTGTGGTCTGGGCCACACAATTACCCAGAATGCGGAGGTCTCAGACCCCAAACCCATCCACCTGGAACAGAACGGCAGGAGCCCCTGCTTCACTGCAGCCTTTTTATAGTCAGGCCGCAACAACTGGAAAGACGACAGAGAAGCCCTGCACACTCACCGAGACCTCTTGATCGATAGTGAGTTGCCAGGATCGTTCGCCACTGTTGAAAGTGAGAGGGTCGACTGGGAGTACACCTTGCTGAGCTTGGAGCCTAAGAAAAATGTGTATAAACAAAAGAGTGGGCATAGCATGATCAGACCTAAGATGGAAGCTGCTTCATTGGTTTGCTTTTTTCTCCTCCTGTTGTAGTTTTTAATATTGATTGTTTTTAATTACTGCAAGCCACCTTCCTGGTCCTCTGGAGGAAAAAGGTAGGATGTAAATATTTTAAATAAATAAATAATAATACCTTTAGTTCTTAGATTTTTAAAAATCCCCTTCCCCATCCAAAAACCAAGAGTTGCTGTTGGTGGCGTATACATGAACCATAAGCCAACAATGGAATATTTGATATTTTCTGATATTCAAAGCAGGAGGATTCAAAGATGACACCTTTAGCAAGAAATTAAGTACAACCAATCTAAAGCAAGACAGGATAGAACTCTAAGGTAACAGAAGAGCTGATCATTTTCACCACCCAACCAGCCAGGCGTACCTTTGGCTACCTCAACATACCATGAAATCTGTCTCCCTCTACAGGACAGGTTGATGCAAAAAAGGACACTGTACTCTCTGAATAGAGGGTCTTAAGCTGGAACAGATGGAAGTAATTGTATCTGCAAAGTGTCACACCAAGCTGGTCACAGCATGCTGCAAAAGGATGTTCCCAGGCCTGTGGCACATGATGCAAGGAACTATCCAAAAACGTTTCACCAGGTGAGAAGTGAAGTTTTGTTCCCTGCCATTTTGGTCAGTAAACAAAGTTTTTCCTAAAGTGGGATCTTTTTCCATGTTGGGCTAAATTATTCTATGCTCATCCTACTTGTCTCAATCATCACCTAATCCCCAGAGAACCAGAGAGAAGACTCAGCTTTATCATTGGAGGAATGATGCCCAGACAGGACTACATTCATTGTCTGAATTATTGCCCAGACGTCACCCAATGCACATACAAGATGGGCAATCGGGAACATCTTCCATACAGAGCAGGAATCCATCTGGACCCACACATCTCTGTGAATGATTTTTTTTTTTACAGGCATCCCAGTCTCACAAAGGTTAATGCCCTCAGGTGGTAATCTGTCATGATGGAGTGGTTTTGATCTCTTTCACTCTTAGATCAGCATCCATCTTGCCAGAAGTAAGAACCAAGCGCCAAATGTGTCTAGCTTGAGGAATGTGAGTGGACATCAACTAAGAGAGATGCAAGGTTGTGCCCAAGGTTTCAAAACAGTCGTGAGAACCAGACCAGTGCCCATGCCCCAGGGTCTTCAGTGGCGTGACCCCCTCCATACAAACAGCCTGCAGAAAGGAGACCAGTGGACTGTAGGAGGACAGGGTACCTAGAGAGCTCCTCCCAATTCTTGCACACCCAGCATCAGTAACAGGCACACCAAATGGGATGACTAGCAAACAGGGTACCTGGATAAAGGCACGGAGTAATGAGAGAACAGTGCAAGCCTACCTCCGAACACTGAGCCTTGTTCTGTCTTCTTCCCAACCCATGAAGACCCCCAAACAAGGCTGCACTCTCATCCCCCATGGGATAGAAGTCTCCCTGCCCTTCTGATCCCATCCACAAGAGGCAACCCTTACCCAGGAGCCCCTTAACAGGGCTGCGGGACAGGGCGGAATCATCGCAGAAGACCGTCTTGGGCCGTCCTTTCTTCAGGGCGCGCACAGTGGTCGGTTTCTGCCGCAAGACCTTGTCTAGGTCTTCCATCAGCTTGAGTTGATGGCGGCGCAGGTACTCTTGGCGGGTAAAATCGCCTCGTCTTGGCCCTACTTCCTCCTCCTGGCGGGGCCGCTCTTCTGCCTGCAGTCTGGGAAAAATGCAGCCAAAAGATCCCCCAGCAGTCAGAAACGACGACAAATCAGCTTGGTCCAAACTAGGATTCTTTGCTACTAGCTAAAACCCCGCCACACATGATGTAATCAATAGATGATGGAAGTTCGTTTTCAAACTACATCCTGAAAAAGCCTGAAAAATCTCAAAAATTTTAGGATTCCTCAGTGGAAAAAACAACCATTAACAACAAACAAACTCCTACCACATCTCCCCTACTATACAAAACAACTAAGCATGTTGAATTACATTCTCTGTTATTCCCAAATCTTCTGCCCATGGGTGGGGATTTATGACTGATCTACAGAGATTTCTCAGCAGATAAGGTGATACATAGACGGTTCCCTCAATCTGTTTTGTTGGAAAACTGCTAAATTAGGGATGAACAACTGTGGTCCTCTCTGTAGTTTTAGACTGCAACTCCCATAATATCTTTAATTCCAAAAGCTGGAGAAGCACATGTTCCCTACGCCTGATTTAGGAAGTCAACACCCAAATAAAGAAGTGACAATAGTTTGCCACTCACATCTCTACTCCGCCAGATTCAGGTAGCGATCAAGGTGGACACAGGAGTATTTGTTTTCATTCCAAACATTTGTGCAAGGTGTTGCAGCCTTCAAGCTTAGAAGGCTGCAACCACACTGGACATAGGAACAATCTATTCAGACAGGAGTGGTGGCAGCTCCCAGCACAGCTGGGCAGCTGCTAAGTATCTCTTGGAACTTGAGCTCAGGCTTCTTTCCCCTTCCCTGCTCTTCGGCTGTATTTCACAGCGGCAACAATCTGAAATGTTTCCTAGTAACACAGTGGCACAGAACTTGGATTGAGGAGGGGGAGATGCCAACAACTGGGTGAGGAAGAGAATGGAAGAGAGCAGGTGGAAAGAAAGAAGATGGCAAACAGATTCTCAATAAAAGTCTGGAAAGGTTTGCTTTTGTTTTGTTGTTGGGGAAAGACTGGTTTTAAATGCTCCATCAATGGAGAAATCAAATACACAAATATAAGTGCACTTGGGCAGAGGTGTCTGCCGATCCCACTGAACAAAACAGATAGATCTTTTCCGCCTATTGTCACTCAGGGAGAAGGAGGAGTAGAAACCCCATGAAAACTGGACCCCAGCTACTTAATTTCAACATTTTGTAAATTTTCTGAAACAATGGTGCCACACCACATGGGGAGCCACTCCCCCACCTCTTTGCAGACAGACTCCAAGTGCCAAAAGTGGGGAGGATGTTATGGCTAGCCCCTCTATCCCACTTCACCTGGTCTCCTCTTTCTTCTGCTCCTTCTCTTCCTCCTGCCACTGCTTCCTGCGCCGTGCGTCCTCCGTGCGCCGCTGCTGTCTCTCTAAGAAGGTGGCACGCTTCTGTGCCATCTCCTCTTCAGCTTTCTCCTCACCCTGCATCAACACAACATATCACTATGAAGCACCGGAGGGTTGAGGGCACGATCCTTCCAGATACAGTATCTTAACTCCCCGCATGGCAGACATATAGCTGGACCATTTTTTTCCTATACCCCTCCTCGGTGTCTCTAACCCTCTAAGGAAGACCCTACCCCACCCTGGAAGCTTACACAGGGCGCTCTTGTTCCACTCTGACCTGTTTTGCTAGCTTTAACTCAATCGGCTGCTATAGTCTCTCCGCCTAACAGGGGTTCACAGCATATGTAGACAGATGGGGACAGGACCCAATGACCACTGAGGTCTATGGTTGTGCTTTTATAAAGCCTTGAAATGGGGTCAAACAGGCAGAAAGCCCAGGAGTCCCTGCCCTGGATTGCAGCTTCCACTCCCAAACTGCCCTGGCAGAACAGGTCATCATACACATAATCCTCCACTGGTGATCTCTAATCTGAGGCTGAGCTCTGGCTCCAGAGTTCATGCATGTGAGTCACCACCAGCTTCCGGATGGCTGCAGAGATCTGTGGTGCCACTAGAGAGCGGCAGGAGCAGGCCGTGTGATTAAAGAAAGCCAGCCGAAGAGCAGATAGAAACCTCTGAAATTGCTACTCCTTTCTTTACCCAAGGATTGCAAAAGCGGGTGGAGTTTAAAGTCACATCCGAGCACAGACAATCCATTCAAGCAATTTGCCTAACCAGCCCTACCGGCAAGCTCTGGGGATACCTACGCCTGCCAAGCCCCCCCCCCTCAGCTGCACAGTCCCACTGCAGAACTTTTGCCTACGTCCTGCTCCTATCATCTGGATGAGGCCACCCGGCTGATCCCAGACCTGTAGGGCACCCCATTCCAGTTTGGGACAGGTTAGTCCCGAATGAAAAGCCACAGAAGCTGGAGGAATCAGCTCCGAATTGCTAGCAGCTAACAGTTGTGATTTCCTACCTTGAAAAAGAAGCCCAGGCCAGAACGGGGTTCAGAGTCCAGTGTCTCTGCGACAGATTCCTCCAGCGAGTCATCACCATCTACATCGTCGTCTTCCTCCCCCTTCAAGCTCGATAAGGGGATCTCAATCAGGCTGCTGCGTCGGTCGCTGGGGGAGGAGACATCACTCGTGCCATCTCCTGAAACCCGGGCGTTGCCCCCTTGGGGAGGTACCGAGGCTACCGGCCGCAGATTACCCGGTGCCGGGACCTCTGCTTCTGGTACCGGCACCTCCTCATCCTCAGCAAAATGGATGGAAGAGCGAGTCTGCACATTCACCTGACTCGGAGAGAATTTGCGGAGGTGCGGGAGGGTGTCCACATTGTGGGGGGGTGTCAGAACCCGAGTGAGGGGCGGCAGCTTCAGCTCCACCGGCCGTGTGTGCTTAGGGCTCTTTGGAGGAGCGGGAGCCGGAGACTTCTTTGGCGTGGGCTGAGGCGAACGGGATTTGCGGGAAGGGGACGGCGAGGGTGACGGTGAGGACAACTCCACTGAAGAACGAGGCGGAGCCCCCTCGCGGCTCGCCCTGGGGGCTGGGATCACCCAGGCTTGGGCACTGGGCTTCTTGTCCTGCATGAGGCGCTGCTGCTGATCACTCAGACGTTGCATGTCCATCTGCAGTGAGCTCAGAGCAGTGTTCAACTTGGCGACAGCCCGATTGTAGTCGCCCAGGTTCTCGTCAAGCCCACTCTTGGTGATCTCCGGGGAGAAGGTCACCTGCTTATTCTCTACGCGGGCTCGAGGGCTTCCGGCCTCCTCCTCAGCTTCCAGCTGGGACAGGCGCTCCTCCAGAGTGAGCCGGCTGTCCTCCGCCTGGGGCTGGCCATCGGGTGCCTTCTGCAGCTGCAAGAAGGCGCTCTTGCCCAAACGCTGACGGTGCCGGGTAAAGATGGCTTCTATGCGTTTCTTCTGAGCCTCGATGGCACGGCGCTTCTCCTCCAACCGCGCACCCAACTGGCTCATCTCTGAGCTGAGGGCAGGGCTCTGGGCAGGGCTTTCCTCTGGAGGGAGGGGACCAGCCTCTGAGCCCTCCGAGCTGATCCCACTCGACTTGCTGTCCGTCGCCGCCAACTTCTTCTTGCGCTCCGCAAAGCTGGTCATGCGCACACCAGAGGCGGAGGAAGCCGTGCTGTCTGGTTGTGAACTCAGCGAGCTCACACATGAGGTGGAATCATCGGGGCCACCAGGAGGCCGTGAGGGCTCTTCAGCGTCAGAGTCCAGGCTGCCATCCTGGGCTGGTTCTGCTCCATTGGGAGGTCCATTGTGGCAACGGTAAACTGCGGCCGCGGGCACCTTTTCCGGTGCCGAGGCTTTTGGCGGCTCTGGCGAGTGCAGGTAGAAGCCATCGGGAGCTCCCTCCGGCAGCAAGCGCTCGCTGCTGTGAATGATCTTCAGGGCCTCCTCAATCGTGGGCAGGTCAGAGTACCCGTCCGTCAGCCCGTTTTCCAAGGCCTGCCCCTCTTGGCTCTTGGGTCCTGCTCCATGGAGTGATGGAGTCACCAAACCATTTGCAGCCTCGGCCACCTCACTGGGCCGGGGGCGGGGAGAGCGGGGCAAAGAGGAGTAAAGGGGAGGGGCCAAGCTGTCAGAACTGACGGAGCGCAGGATGCCCACCGGGTTGCCCATTACAATGTCCACATCGCTGTCCAGGCCAAAAGGGATGCTGAAGGAGACGGCCTGGGACAGAGGGTGACTAGGGAAAAGGAGGGGAAGAAGAAGAGGAGGAGGAGGAAAAGATTAGAGCCACTAAGATCTGCCCAGTCCACTTTCTACCCGCTGGCCTCACATCACTTCTCTCTCCAACAATGGCACATTCAGATCTGTGGTTATAAGAGGGCGTACCGTGTACAAATTATGCAAAATAAGGAGGTTGCTCAATTCTGCTTTTAAGTCTCCAGGCCGTAGACAAAGGCAACTTTTTATTGGCCTGACTGTAACATGTTAACAGTCTGACCTACAGTTTCTAGTTTGATCTGGGAATTTGTAACTGTTTTAAGAAGTTTAACCCTTGTTTACTGTTGTTATGCCATGAGTCACCTTCATCGCTCTTGTTGAGAGGAAAGAAACAATCAAAATTGTTCTAATGAAGAAACACATTTGCAAAATATGTATGTCCGTAGTGAGGCCAGAATCCAAACTCAGCACTTCCACCGATGGATCTCCTCCTGACAGCAGAACCAGAAGGAGAGGAGGGACGCCCTCCCAACACCAGAGGCCTGAGATACTCCTATCCCTGGGATAGATTTTTGAAGGGTGCAAGGGGATTGCAACAAAGAATTTTCTGACACGCTGGCAATCATTTATGACCACAACACTTCATTTGAAAGTGTGGGTTTTCACGCATCCATTTCACATTTGCCCCTTCTCAAAGGAAAAAAAGGCAACCTTTCTGCAGACTTCTCAAAAGAAGGATGTGGCTTTCACTCACCATTTATTTAATTAATTTTAAACTATTTTAGGCCCACCTGCACAAATCGTCCACAAAGGGTTAAATTGAATGATTACATCTCTACTGACAAGATTCTCAGCACTGGCACTCCACAAGGTTGTGTCCTCAGTCCACTACTGTTCTCCATTTATTCATCGGATTGCACCAATAACCATCCCAGTAATAGAATTATCAAATTTGCAGACGACACTACACTAGTAGGACTTATTTCTGGGGATGATGAGTCTGCATATCGGGATGAGGTATTACAGCTATCCCGCTGGTGCAAAAAAACACAATCGTCTATTTAACATCCAAAAAACCAAGGAATTTATAGTGGACTATAAGAAAAAAAGAGCAGACATTCAGCCACTGTATATAGATGGAGTTTGTGTGGAACCGGTGGTTGAATGTAAGTTTCTTGGGACCATCATAACAAATGACCTGACTTGGAGTGCAAACACCGCTGCGTTAATCAGGAAGGCGCAACAACGGTTGTATTTCCTAAGGACTCTTAGAAAGCAACAATTGACTGAGAGTTTGTTAATCACCTTCTATCGGAGTTCGATTGAGAGCATATTATCCTACTGTCTCTGTGTATGGTTTACGAACTGCACAGTGGCAGAGAAAAAGGCAATTCAAGGGGTGATCAAGACGGCCCAAAACATCATTGGCTGTTCACTCCCCTCTTTGGAAGAATTGTATAAGAACAGATGTAAGAGGAAGATATCTAATATACTGAAAGACTCCTTTCATCCGGGATATCAGCTCTTTGAACTATTGCCATCGAGAAGGAGATTCAGGGTATTGAAAGCAAGGACAAGCAGATTCAAGAACAGCTTTTACCCAAGTGCAGGACTGAGTTTAAATGCGGGGTCATAAGTTTTTGGTGGAATTTTAATTGCTGGGAGAAACGGGGTATCTATATTTGTATGGTGAGTGTTGTGTATATTTTTAACTTTTTTTTGTAGTGGTGTTGTCCAGTTTTACCTTGGGGAAGAGCACCTCATTTCATTGCACCCACTTGTGAGTGCAATGACAAATAAATTTCTTATGTCTTATGTCTTATGTCTAAGGCATGTAATAAAGAAAACAACAGAATGTAACAGTAAAAACACAGCAATAAACTGGCAGCCTAAATATCCAATGTCAAGAAAAACCACCACAATAAGTGAGTCCTCGGAACTTTACCAAAGCCCTGCAAAGGAAAGTTCTGCTGATTCAACATCTGAATTAAAGCTCATGCTAGATGGAATCGGAAGATGTGGTGTAATTCTGGTCTGGGTAAGAGGACACATGTTTTCTGCCCAGGTTTCATATTTATCATGCTCTGGGTTCCTTCTCCGTCCCAGAAAGAGCACCGTAAGGATATGGTCGGATTTCCCTTTCCCAATTTAACATCAACTTTCAAATGTCTAACATGGCAATCCTTTAGACTGTGGCTATGTGTTCTACCACTGAAATATATGTGTGACAGCAAATGCAACTTCATATTGTCCATGGGCTCAAGCTCTACCCAACACCTTAATGAAACCTGGAGTGCCACGCCCTTTCTATAGCCAGAACAAATCACTGCCTCCATACTTTCCTTGATTTCCTCTTTGTTTTCCCAGTACCACCGTCCCCATGGACCCCTTAAAGGCACTTCACTCCTTTTACCTGAGCTGCTTCTTGCTCCATGCTTTACCAAAGCCCTCTACGTGGGACATGGATGTGGAATGATGCAGGGAGCCTATGGGCAAAAAAGGAAACACGAGTCACAAGACAGCACACAGATATAAAGGAGCCACTGCAGCCTCCTCAAGAGGTGGCATCAGAATCCAAGGGCTACATTCAAGTGGTGAGAGGATATCTGAAAGGGAGCACTGCCTAGGTGCAATGAGCCCACCATGATAAACGAAAATGAGGAGAAGCATAGACATGAAAAAAATGGAGCAGTATTCAGCTTTCACCGTGCATTCAAAACTTTGCCAACTATGTCTTTAGCAAAGCACGCATTTGACAGAAAACCACAAACTAAGGCAAGAAAGTGCCAACTCTTCTGCCCTCAAGTACACAAAGTAGGTAGCACAAGGCCTAATTGTATCTCGTTGTTCAGACTATGCAAACAATCTCCCTTCTGAAGTTAGTTTTTGATTAAAATCTAGTTTTCAAGGCTGGGATTATTCACTAAAAGCTAATTCTATGCATGCCTACTCTGCAATAAATCCCATTCTCAGGAATCCCTTTAAAGTGTGCCTTCTGGGACAAGCCTATGATGGCCCTCCTGTCACTGAAAATGGGCAGCATCTTGCTGCTCAGGACAATGGGAAGGGCTACCCACCCTCAAGAGTTTTAAGATTGCAAGACTGAGCCCCACAGGAGATGTTGACAGTTATGATCAGATCCCCCCTAAGAGCAGGGGTGGGCAAAGCACAGCCCCCTAAATTAAATGTTTCGGCATGGAAACTCCCATCTACCCTAGCCAACACAGCCAATGGTGAGGAATGCTGGGAAATGTAGTCCAACAATCTCCGGATGGACCCACTTTGCCCACCCCCCGAATTAAAGAGTGCTCTTCTCCATCCAACTTCTTAGTTCATACTGCCAGGAGAGGAGTTCTGGAAGCAGGGAAGAAAAGTAGTCTCTTACCTAAGGAACCACAGAGTGGGGACTGCGCCTGCCCTCCAGGAAGCAGTGGGTGCCGGAAGCTGAACACTGGGGAGCTGCTGGTAAAATGAGAGCAATAAGCAGATATCATAATATGAGAAGAGCCCTGCTGGATCAGGCCAAGGGCCCATCTAGTCCAGCTTCCTGCATCTCACAGTGGCCCCGCCAGAAGCCTCTGGGAGCACACGAGACCACTAGATACCTGTCTCCTGATACCCCCTCCCCTGCATCTGGCATTTGGAGGTATCTTCCTTTTAAGCCTGGAGATTATACATCCCTCATCGTGGCTTGTAACCTGTGATGGACCTTTCCCCTCCAGGAATCTGTCCAATCCCCTCTTAAAGGCATCTAGGCCAGAAGCCATCAGCACATCCTGCGGCAAGGAGTTCCACAGATTAGCAACACACTGGGTAAAGAAGTATTTTCTTTTGTCTCTTCTCACTCTCCCAACACTCAGTTTAAGTGGATGTCCCCTGGTTCTAGCATTGCATGAGAACAAGATGGGGGTATTGTTAGCAAAATTTGCATTCTCATCTTCGAAGGTGGTCATCTACTCTTAGATTAGGAAGATAGCAACCAATGCCTTCCGAGAGCACAAACATCAGCAGCCTAAAGAATGCAAGTGGGTGCTTAACCCACACCTGGAAGAAAATGTCTGAAGATGGTTGTGTGTATCTCTCTCTCTCTCTCTGTGTGTGTGTGTGTGTGTGTGTGTGTGTGTACGCGTGCGTGTGCACAGATACAGAAGGGGTGAGAGAAACACCAAGAAGTATTTGCACAACACTAGAGCTACTGTGCAGACACTATATATGTGGCATACATATATGTATGCTTAGTGCAAAAGTGTCAGTCTGGCGGTTCATCTGGCAAATAAAATGAGCACATATTTGCAGACGTGCAGGAACAAGTTCCTTTCATTTGCTGCTTAAAGGCATTCCCATACATACTAAATGGGAAAGAGACCAGTGCCAACCTTAAGATCAGAGACTTTCCACATCCCCTCAAGAAGAACAACACTTTCTACTGGCCTGAAGCAATTTGAGAACCGGCAACTCTGGCCAAGAGAACACCCTTCTTCCCCTTTCAAGTGCAACTCAATCCAGGTGAATCAAGGAGTCTCTCCTGATCAACAGCTACAGCTGAAGAGGAAAGCAAGCACTTTGTTCCCATACTAGGAGAGCAAGGCTTCAACTTTCCCCCCCTGGAGCAGAGGAAGGTCCCATCAGCCTGAAATATAAGGAGGCACTGAGCCCCCACAAAACGACAAGGAGTTTTCCCCACCCTGATAGTAGGAATAACTCCTTTCAGATCATGTTTCGCCAAGCTGTTTCTAATCTGTAAGGAGGCCCTTGGGCAAAGAGAGAGCAAGCAGCAGCAAAATCAAGTCTTGCAACACCTAGGAGCACCATCGCTTCTGAAACGGGAATGGTGACACTTCAACCTTGCATAAGGAGAGCAGGGAATTTAATGTCAGTAGTACAGAAATAGTAGGGGACCCTCAAGGGCTGTCTAGTTCAGCTTGTTACAACAGAGCAAAATGACCTGTATACCTACCACCTCCCAGTGCCCTGCCAGAAAAGGGAGTAACTGCCAACTCCCTAAGTAATTTGGGGTGTTCTGGCAGAATTGAAAAGAGTCATCGGTTAAAGTCACCAGCAGCTAAGCATCCACCCTCTGGAGGCTGCTCTGTCAACATTAACAAGGCTCACAGACGTGTCAGGTTGAGGCCTGGACATTATCCGTGTCTAAGCATTTCCAACGGCATATACAAGAGACCAGTTTTCAGAGCTTTTGATGGGAGTTTACCAGGCTGCCGGCTACCTTTGCTAGGGACAGCACACACCAAAGTGAGCGGCCTAAGACATTTTTCTGTCCACGGTGAAGGACAAGATGACGCCTTCCTCTGCTCCATGAAAAAGCCATTCAGCTGGGTTGTTAAACCTTATTCTTGCTGTGGTGATGGGACAATAATTCCCACAGCACTTGAGGCCAGCAGGTGAGCTTTAAGAGCAGAGGGCAGGCCATGGGCAATTTTATACGCTCCCTGCCCCTCTACCCCATGAAGTATCTGCTTCATTCTGCCTAATGGGAGAGCTGGCTCAAGTTAAGGCAACTGTATACTCAAGAAAGAGGAACAGAACCCAGGAGAGTCTTCTCAGAGCCTTCTCCCCCACAAGGACAGGGAATCACCCACAGCCTCACCCATCCTCTCTGAACAGAGGAGGCAAATATCACTCCCAGCATAAACAAGAGATGGTGGACTCAAATGAGTGACTGGCAAGAGTCCTGGAGGCTCACTCACCTGTTGTTGTTCCCACTGTTTGGTGTCAAAGAGTCATTCAATCCAGGGGAATCTGAAAAAGAGTAGCTACTTCAGTGAACAGGCATCCAGGGGAAAACAAAGAGAGACCACTCAGACCGGCGATTAAGCCAGCAAAAGGTCACAAGAGGATGGGAATGCCAGCTACATGTACCAAGGTGCAGGAGAAAAACCGGCTCCGTTCTCCACTCACACAGGAGGCCATTGTTTGAGGACTGGGGCATGCCAAGTCCCAGAGGTCTCTGCTGCTGTTCCACTTACTCAGTGGGGCACAGATTTGGGGGAAGGTGTGGCTGGAAAGCATTGCCGTCAGTGCTAACAGGGTAAATATGTCAATGCGCATACATGTGCACAAGCAAGCTATATAACGGGCAGCTGTATATCACTGTTTGCTCCCTTCAGATAGTTTGGGCATGTAATTTAACACCTGACAGGACTTGAGGAAAAGTCCTCTGATCGCAAGGCTAGACCATGAAAACGTTTGTGGCATCGAAGTAAGTGCAGAGTCTTCAAGGGCAGACCAAGATTTGACCCATGCTGAGAAGAGGCAAGAATGCTGGGCCAGATGAAGCAATCAAGTTTCAGCACTTGAGGGGAAAGGAAGAAGACCACAACCTATTTGCTTCAACAAGACCCACAGAGGCTCCAGAAACAGATGTAAAGGAAGATGGAGATACACTTGATCAATCTGCTTGCTTCACAACATCTTGTATTTGGTTTATATTACAAAACGCGTGAGGCACTTGCTCTCCGGCCCCTTCTTGTTATGAAGCAAGGAGAACCTAATTTCTGACTGTCAGGTCTAAAAATCTGCACCACTTAGATTTGATGTCTTATGCAAGCCTGGCATCTCTTCTCTCCTGACCTCCAGAAACCTAGGATTTTTGTTTTGGAAAAAATAATGGCAGGAACAAGAGCCTGAGAATTGCAGTAGTCTGGAAATATGCCACTAGCAATGAAGTCTGAGAAAAGGATATCAATCTGGCTGAGAGGAAGATGCCTGGCATATCTTCCTTTATTGCCTCATAATCTCCTTTTCTTTTTGTCCCTCAGGTATTCTATTCCAATTTCAAAACACTTCAAAAACCCACATTCTCAATGTTCAGAAACATGCAAAAAATTATGCACAACTAAGCATCCTCCTGGATGCTTCGTAAATTCCCTGAGAAATTAACAGTGCGCTATATACACAACATGGGGTAGGAAGACTCTATTAATGTGGTTTCTGCCTTATAAGACATTCTCAGCATTTAATTTGAAGGAAGCTATGAATACACCACCTCCTTCTCCATGCTGGGCAGGACCTGCTCTTCAATCTATTTCCTACGCAGACAGAAAGAGGAACACGATATACATTCTGCAAATGTCAGCTTCTTACCTTGAAGTCTGGGCAGCTCCTTAGGGCATACGAAGTCTGGCTTAAGCACCTCGAAGCACAAAAACAACTCTGCCAGGAACACCCCAACATTTATCTGAGGACGTAGAACAGCTTGTTAGGTAAGCACTCTGGAGAGGGAGGAGTCCTCTTCCATCCGAAAACACTGGGGCCCAAGTCCTGAAACTGCCTTTCCTTGGGCTCCAAGTCACCGTCATCTCTTCCTGTTGTCTCTGCAGAGGTCTCTGCAACACCAGTCACAGAAGCTTGGAGTGGGTCTCTCCCTGACTGCAGCAATAATGCCTTCCCAATTCTTAAAACTCTCTTTCCCCCCACCTGCCTGCCTCCCTCCCCCTTGCTTTCCAGCCCCATTCCACGGTTCACCACAGAAGGACCCCATTGTCTCAGCCTCTAATTAGTGTCGCTGCAGGCAGTGGCCAAGGCTCATTAAGGCCAAGACAGGCTGGGCACCGGTACCAAGTGCTAATCCCCATTTGCTCCGCAGGAACAGCCGCACGAGACACCAAGGCAGGCGTTTCCCTCTGTGCTAGAGTAACAAGGCACTCCTTTCCAGGTGGCGATTCCTGCCCAAAGCTAGGCGAGCTCCTTCACTGCAGCCAGGGTGGTAATGTAGCAGAGTTTCCCTGGCTGAGGCTGGTCTCTCTACTACCCTTTCTTCCTCACAGTTGCAAAACTCACCCTCAATGCAGGTGGCATGTACAGCAGGTCCTCCAGGGAGAGGAAACAGGTGCCACCCAAGTAGTCAGACGCAAAGCCTTGGATCAGCTGCAGGTTATAGAGGCTGTCTGCCACGGACATCGTCTCCTTGAGGCACACATCTGCCGGGCAAGGAAAGTGTGTAATAGCTTTTAATGGTCACCAATGGGGGGGGCATGTGGGGAATCCATTCAGAACAGTGGCTCAAAGCTTTGGAAAGTGGCTTTTTTTGATAACAACTCCCAGAATTCTTAGCCACTGGCCATGCTGGCCGGGGGGAGATTCTAGGAGCTGTAGCAACCTCCCGAGAGCCATCCCATCCCCCCTTCCACGCCAAACCCAAAGTCTGGACTCACCTTCCAAGCGTACCAGCTGGGGGCAGTAATAGTGGATGGTGGCAGCAATGGCACCTCCACTGGCTAGATCCTTCATGCCTGTGATGGCAGGGAAACAGGGGGTCTGTTTCGGCAGGGCCTTGTCCTTCCGGTAGCGGATCTGAGCAGAACAGAGAGGCAGGAGGAAGTAAACAGGATGACAACAACAGGAGTTAGCGCTCCACGAGAGGAACCTTAAAAACTGGAGTAGTCAATGGCTCCACACTCTTTATGTTCCTCTGCCCAAAATGTTACCATGCAGCAGTCCTCAGACATTTCCTGAGCAGGGATGCTTGGAAGGGGGGGGGAGGCTAAGGGAATGGGCTCTTCCTCAAACAAACAAACACACAAACAACAAATGTGCACGCCCAATGTGGCCCCTCCCTCCTCCATCCCAATACCAAGAGCAGAGTGCATGCTGGGAAGGGGATAAGGATAAAGCAGGGAGAAGGGGACAAGCCAGAGCCTTGGCAGGAACCCCTTCAGAAAGGCAGCCAGGAAGGAAAGCAGGAGACAGGTGAAGGAAGCAGCCATCATAGGAACAGAAAAGGAGACATTCTCCCTTCTACGGTAGCTCTGAGTGACCCAAAAGAGTAAGAGGCCTCTCCCACCCACCCACCCACCCCAATGGTT